TCACGCATTGGTCACATAATACTTAAGCACATAATCGAGCTAAGTCTTCAAGGATAACTACTTGTTTTAGAACTCTATCAGAATTCCAACTAGATACAACATTAACCAAGCGCGTTTCTCTAAGTTAGTCAACTAGACACAAAATAATATCTATGAGACTTAACACCATACCTACATAAATATGCAACATATAAACATTTTGATATCACTTAGCACATCAACATGCAATCATCTTGACAAAGCGAGATAAAACTTATTATGGTAAAACCACTTCCCACAAGTCTAAGATTTTCAAACTTGGTTACCTTTGATACCATGTCATACCCTAGATTTCTAAGATTTGGACCCACAAGAATATTCCCAAATGTTAAAGAAAAAACAAAAATAACAATAATAATCAAATGTCATCTCTTATATATATATATATATATATATATATATATAAAATATCATTCAGTACATGAGATTCGTTCATTTCATACATCTTGTATTCATCATCTAAGTGGCATATACATATAATATGAAATCAAAAGTAACAAGCATTTAATAAAAATAAAATGCCCTTAGGTGTACATCAAGTAAGAAGGTGTAACCCTTACAAAAATACGGCACTCGTCCAAGAAAACACAAAAAGACCTAAGCCAATCAATCAACAGAGGTCTCTCTAGTCCATACATATATGCAATGACAACTCAGAGTTGTGGCACGTCCTTAACACCTAAAAAATTATCAGCTACGTAAGGTGAACATATAGTCCAGTAGATAAATAGCCAATAACTCCCAAACCCTAACTCCCTACAATGCATATTTTCAAAATCTCTATAAATTTCTCAATGTAGCATAAAGAAACTACTACTTATACACATATAAACACATGTTATATAAGTAGAAGAAAACCCTACCTTAAATAGAGAATAGGAGAATTGCTAAAACCCTACCTTCGATGAAAGTGAAGCCATCTCCATGCTCTATAATATTAATACTTGAGTTTTTTTTTTTTTTAATTAATACAAGCCGCAACCACCTTAATCTTAATGGAACATTGAAGAAAGAGAGAAAATAGAGATAGAGAGTCTGTGTGTTTGAAGCGAATGAAGAGAGAAAAATATCTCAACCAAATGAAGAAAATAGGTCCAAAATGCATGGTTGGGAGGTTGCCACATTGCTCAGAAGATTCTGATCCCATACAATTCGCTCGTAAAAAATGTATGGGCCACTCATACGGATCAACCCAGTAAGTTTTGCTCGCAAACATGCATAATTTGCTCATGTGGAACAAATATTCCACACGTGCGGATTGACCTAGACTACTTTACTAGGTAAACTTCAAACATGCATATTTGTTTTTTCTAGAGTTGGAATTAGGTCAATTGAATGTCTAAATTGAAGCTCCAAAAGTAAGTTTTCCAACGGTCTTGGTCTCACATCAAGATTCAGAGTGTGGATAGAGCAAAGAGCAAAAGAGTGGAGACTAGTCACAAACAAAAATCTGAATTTGGAGTTTTAGGTTCGATCTTGCCCAAACACCACTTTAAAACATTAATCAAGATTCTAAACATCTAGAAGGAGGTCTCATTTATAACAATTACAAGACCAAATGCAAACGCAAACCTATCATTATGAAGATTCCGGAAACAACACAAATAAAAGGTAATGAGTACCAATTAACATAAATAAGTTGGGTTTAAGATCCGATATGTTACAATTGGTGTCCTTGGTGATAAGATGAAAACGATTTTCATCTAATCATACGAGTAAATCTTGATAAGCATATCACATCAGCAGCAGCTCCAGCTATATTAACAGCAGCTCCAGCTACATCAGTAGCAGCTCCAGCTACTCTTGGCTCAACCACTTCAGCAGCAGCTCCAGCTATTCTTGGCTCACCTCATACACTCAAGAGATAGATTTAGCACATGTTAAATGACATTGTATAACTGTGTAACTGTATTCTCCCGCATTAGATGGAATTAGTTAGTTAGTTATTAGTTTCTGTATAAATACACAAGTGTATCTTTATATTCATTTTAATGTGAAAGAGATCTTCAATAATTCTTCATGGTATTAGAGCCTCTCTGAGCTCTCACGAGCATATTAATGGCTTCCTCTTCTTCATCTCCATCGACCTCATTGCCTGCAAATCTCAATCTTCTTATCTCCAATCTAAATTCATTCATCATAGTCAAACTTCATGCAACTAACTTTCTTATATGGCAAAGCCAGTTTCAGAATATCTTGCGTGCAACTGACTTCTTGGATTTTGTAAGTGGATTAGTTCCATGTCCACCATTGATGATCAAGGACGACTCTACTGGTCTCGCAGTCTTGAATCCTGATCGAGTCAATTGGAACAAAATTGACGCTCATCTCCTAAGTTGTATCACTGCAACACTTACCTCTACAATTTTTTCTTCTGTTATTCATCTGCAACACAGCTTTGAGGTATGGACTGCACTCTGCAAATGTTTTACGACACTGTCAAGATCTCACATTCATCAGATGAAAAATCGTTTAAATCATTTGACAAAAGAGTCCAAGTCTATTGAAGAGTATTTGCATCAGATCAAAGATCTTGTTGATCAGTTGGCTCTAGCTGGATCATCTGTTGATGAAGAAGATTTAGTATTACTTACTCTGAATGGTTTACCTGATGAGTTTGATGCACTCAAAACCACTATTCGTGCTCGAGTTGAGCCTATTTCCATGGAGGAATTAACCTCTCTCCTATGTTCTGAGTCTCTGCATATAGACTCCAAGCAGAGAAAATTGCAATCTCTAGACCACAATTCAGTTGCTTATGCTTCTATGCGAAGTTCAGATAGCAGTTCTTCTGCATCACGAGGCAGATTCTCTTTTCGAAATAATAGAGGCAATTTCGAGATAACTTTTATGGAGGAGGAAGACAGTATCGAGGTCGAGGGAGGACGACCTATTCATCCTCACAACTAATCTGTCAAATTTGTGGCAAAGGAAATCATACAGCTATGGACTGCTGGCATCGTCTGGATGCTAATTTTCATCAGAACTTGTATCAGCTGCGGCATTCACCGAACCAGAATCAGAATTCGCATCAGAATTTGCTTCAACATTCATCTTCACAGTCTTCTCCAAGAGCCTATGTTGCCTCTACTCCCTCTCCATCTCAAAATTCTTCTGATGTTTCCCCTTGGTATTTGGATTCTGCTGCCACTGACCACATCACTCATGATCTCTCTAATCTCAACATGTCTCAGTCCTATACTGGTCCTGATCATATTACAGTTGGTAACGGTAATTCTCTCCCTATTCATCACACAGGTAAAGGTCTTCTTCCTACTCCTCACTTTTCTTTCAAGCTTAATAAAATTCTTCATGCTCCTATCTCTTCTAATCTTCTCTCTGTCTATCAACTCACAAAAGATAACAATTGCACCATTACGTTTGATGCTTCTTCCTTTGTGGTTCAGGACAAGCACACGAAGGCCATTTTACACAAGGGCTATAATGCTAATGGCTTGTATCATTTTCCACATCTGTTGTCCTCTTCTCAGCATTCTGCTCATATGCCTAATCATCTTTCCTCTTCACATGCTTTCTTAACATCCACCACTGCACATGCTTCTGAGCATATTTGGCACAAGAGACTGGGTCATCCTTCTCAACTGAAGTTTACTGCTTTAAAGCAACATTTGTCTGTTTTTTCTAATAAAACAAAGCCTGCTATTTCTTCTTGTATACATTGTAGTGTGGCTAAAAGTCATCGCCTTCCTTTTAAGCTGTCTAATTCTACTACAAAAAAACCATTGTCTTTAATTCATAGTGCTGTATGGGGACCTTTTCATTCCACAGCTTCCACTTATAAATACTATGTTCTTTTCATTAATCATTATAGTAAATTTACATGGCTTTATCCTTTGTGCTATAAAAGTGAAGTTTTCTCTAAATTTATCGAATTTAAGGCCTATGTTGAAACTCAATTCTCTGCCAAGCTTCAAGTGTTGAGAACTGATGGTGGTACTGAGTTTGTCAACTCCTCAATGTCAAAATTTTTAAAAACTCAAGGTATACTTCATCAACTCTCTTGTCCATATACTCCACCTCAAAATGGTGTTTTTGAAAGAAAACATAGACATATTGTTGCAACAACTATTGCTTTGCTTCATCATTCTTCTGTTCCAACACAGTTTTGGTTTGATGCAGTTGCTACTGCTAATCATCTTATCAATCGATTACCTAGTGCCAAACTTTCTCATAAGTCTCCTTATGAGCTTCTCTTTCAAACTTTACCTGATTACTCATTTTTTAAAGTTTTTGGCTGTCAATGCTTCCCATGGTTAAAGCCTTACACCACCTCTAAACAGCCTCGGTCTTCCCTTTGTGTCTTTCTTGGTTATCACCCTTCCTATAAAGGCTATAGGTGTTTGGATATGACTACAGGTAAGGTCTTCATTTCTAGGCATGTAGAGTTTCATGAAGATGTTTTCCCTTTTTCAACTCATTCTGCTCCTTCTTTGTCCACTCTGACTTCTTTCTTTTGGTCTCCTTCTAATTTTCCTACTGCTTCATCTCAGCCCAGTTATTCTGCAGATCCTCACCTTTGTTCTACAGCAGTCCCAGCTTCTTCTGGTGCTTCATCGCAGCCTAGTTCTTCTGCAATTCCTCATTTCTGTTCTGCTGCAGTTCCTTCTGCTGCTCATCCCAACCTAGCTCCTCGGCAGATCCACTCCTCTGTTCTGCTACAGTTTCATCTCAGCTCTGCTCTTCTGCAGATCCATCTTAGATCTGTTCTGTTGTCGTTCCATCTCAGTCTACTCCCCTTACTCTACAGCCTAATTCTTCTCCTCCTTTAGCCTCAGTTCCTATTCAATCTCTTGTTATTGATTTACCACCTCTTTCCTCCTCAAGTCCTGTCTCTCCTCTTCCCTCTACTAATGTCCATCATATGCTTACCAGGTCTAAAACTCGAGGTCTTGTAGCTTGCACTTCTTCTTCTTTTGCAAATACTGAAAGCTTGTCAATATATGCATGCCCCTACCAATGCTTATTTTTCTTTAGTCAAGCGCATTCTTCGACTTATTCAGGGCACTATTTCTCATGGCTTGCCTTTTGGTCCTAGTTCTTTTGAACTTCAGGCTTTTTCCGACTGTAATTGGGCTGGCGATGCTAGTGATCGCAAATCTACCTCCGGCTACTGTGTTTTTATTGGATCCAATCTCATCTCTTGGTCTGCAAAGAAACAACCCACAGTTTCTCGATCAAGCACTGAAGCTGAGTATCGCTCCCTTGCTCATGCTACAGCTGAGCTTAGTTGGTTGCACATGCTACTGCATGATCTTTCCATTTCCTCTGTTCTTGCTCCTATTCTATGGTGTGACTACTTATCTGCAATAGCTTTGGCTTCCAATCCTGTCTTCTATACTCGATCTAAGCATATTGAAGTGGATTGCCACTTCATTCATGAGAAAGTTGCTGCCAAAAAGCTTGTGCTCAAATGTAACAACCCTCGTACTGTTTACTGATTTATGACCGATTGATTACCGTTAATCACCGATTACTGTTAAACGAAACTGATAATGACTGATAACTAACTAATAATCGAACTGAATGAAATACTGAACCAACTGACTGAAATTGAAACTGAATTGACTGAGTATATGTTAGTTAATTGTATTCTATCTGTTTGATTGTCTGATTATCTGTTCATGCTTATATGTTTAAACTGCTAATTGAAGGCCTTATCGGCGGCCGAACTAGAAACCGATTGATGTTCCGTGACCCTCATAATTAATATGATTTTATGGTATAATTATCGGAAAACTGATTAGGTGTGATTAAATTAGATTAAAATAAGCCAATTGAAGAGTTGGACTTAATTACCGTTTTGCCATTGAGTGGGCCACTATCTCACACACATACTTGAGCCAAGAAACAACATTTCCTCAGCCATTTTCCTTCTCATTGCCGACCAAGAGGGAAGAGAGGAGAGAGAGTGAGAGGAATTGAATTCTACCTTGGGTTTTGCTTGGAGAATTGAAGGAATTGAAGTATAGATTGCATATTTGAGCTCCTAGTCTTCTAATTCAAGCTCTAGGTAAGGATCTTATCTTCTTATTGATGCTATTGAACTAGTTCTTGCATGGTTCATGCTTCATTGTAGAACTAAGTCATGATTTGGGTCATTAATGGTGAATTGAAGCTCATTTCTTGCATGCATGGTTGAATTAATGAGTTTTGAGTTGAATTCATGGTAAATGGTTACATGCATGTCCATGTTGTAAGAGTAGACCATGTTTTCATCTCGTTTTGAAAAGAATAAGCTCATTTGAACAAGCTTTGAAGCTTTGATTTGGTTTAAATCCTTGCATGTTGCATGTTCTTCATATTCTTGAAAATGGGTTTGAATATGGTTCTAATTGACTCACCTTTGGGGCTTGAATTCATAAATTGAGCTTTGAAACTTGTTATACATTGAATTTAATGATGTTTTCCAGAATTTGGGCCCAAGAGGTCGAGTTTGGATACAAGTAAAAATAAAAATAAGCTTGGGAGACAGATCTGGAAATTCCAGATTGGGCTTCCTCGCTCGAGCGAAGGATTCCCCAAAATGCTTGGTGCCTCGACACTTCAAGGCTCGAATGCCTCGAATCTTTCTCTCTTTTCAACCATTCACGTGGCTTGTTTCTCTCTCCTCAAACCTAAGCAGCACAAGATCTCTCTTCTCTCATCCCTTCCATCCTCTCGCTCTCTCTCATCCCTCTCGTCCTCTCGCTGTCAGGTTGTTCGGATCTATAGAGAGAGAGACAGAGAGAAAGAGAGAGAGATTGAAGGACTTGACTCGTTCGAGGAGAGATGGAGCTTGGACCAGTTGACGTAGTTGGTGGTTGTTGGGTTATTGATTGTCGAGGTAGAGAGCTGAGAAATGTAATGGGTCGTTATCGGGTTGTTGTTTGGAGCTGTAGAGAGAGAAATTGAAGAACCTTGACTCGTTCTAAAATGGACGGAGCTCGGAGCAGGGGGTGGTGATGGTGGTGTTCGTCGTCCGGCGATGGCGACGGTGGTGGTTTGTGGTGGGGGA